TATATGCTAATGAGTGAATCGTGCCACGTGCATGAACTTTATCCAACCCAACCATTTATAGCTGTGAGCAAGATGTTGACGGAGATGATGAATATCCATAGATCATTATCCAAGGATACAACTTCGCTTCTGATATTTAAGACTATATTGATGTGTAGTATGACTTGTGTTGTGAATGTAGCTAGTAGTTATAGGCATGCAGAAAACCGGTGCTTTCTATAACACTTAATAAAAATTGTACTACAGATTTGAACAAATATTAATTAGATGTCAATCTTCATATTTATGCTTTATATTTACGTGTGATAAACAAGATATAGTATTAATATATTACTTTATCTCTTAATTTTTAACAGTAAGGTAGGTGTATTAAAATAAGAGCGAGTGAGACAGCATATACATTATAGCATTTCTTTTTGGCAGATATCCGGTGTTCGCGAGATTGCCTCTGAGCCGTAATATAGGGTTAAAGGCATCACTTACATGATCTTATGGGGTATTAACTTAGCAAGGAAAACGATAGCCTGACCCATAATCGCCCTTCAAATCTTAATATTTTCACCCTACCCTTTAGGTTATCTTTGCTTATTGCCTATGATTATTATTCTGCTAGGCGTCGGAATCGATGTACGCAATGTGTTATGCAAACACGTTATACACAGAAATCAAAATGAATACACACACGCGCACTGGCGTAGCTAAGGGGGGGCACAAGGGGGCCATGGCCCCCCTGTTGATTGGCAAACAAAACAAAACAAAAAATTTTCCTTGCCTCTCACGCGTCTTCACAGGACATTTTTCCTTGCCTCTCACGCGTCTTCACAGGACTGGCCACAATTCCTGTTACTTCTGCATCTGCTGAACGAACATTCTCTAAAATGAGCATTGGTCAAGTTCTAAACTTCGCAGTTCCTACAATGAGACCACCACGTTCTTGCTCTCATTCTCTTTTACGTGGAACAGGAGTTAGTGAATGACTTATGGTCAACGAATCCTCAAAATGTTCTGCTGCAAAAATCGACGAGAAGCACTTGACTTTGGATTTATGAGGATGTTCTGCACGCAGAAAAACAGTGACTAAAACGAAAGGAGATAATTTCTCCTTTTCTCTCAGATTTGTGTTGTTGCAGTTGGCTTTGAATTGAATTTTATGGTGCTGAACTCTTATTGACAGAAGAAAAGAATGGAAATGCTTGTGATAACTTTGTATATTCGAATTATAGACGGCCATTTGGGCTATCCACTCGGTTTTTATTTCAACATCGATTTTCAAACATATTTTATAATGGTAACTTGTTCTCTATCAGGCGGAGGCAAAAAAAATTCTTTTCATGGTAAATTCGGTTTTGTGGGTATTTTATAGAGCGGCTATTTTGGCAGCATACTTTGTTTTTATTGAAATCGAAATTTTCAATAGATTTTTAGTTCTTCATTCAAGGGAAAGGCAGAAACATTTTTTATAACGAACAGAAAGGTTAAATGTGATCTTTACGTATTGTATGTCACGATGTAAATCTTTTGTAATTTACATAAATTGCATGTTTAGTCAGTGCAGTTTCAACACATCTACTGTTTTCCCGTAGATCTTTAATTCATTTATTCAATATACCTCTATCTTTTTTCAAAAATAATTTAACTTTTAAATTTTTATATGGAGAACTTTTGAAACAGTTTATGACGCGATAAATGGCAACATTGGATGGTACTGCTAATAACAAAATCAAACGTGAATTCCAATATTCCGTTCAGTGCTTGCAATGAGGACATAGGCATAGCTTAAGGGCGGGCACAAGGGGCATGACCGCCTCTTGATCGGGCGAAGAGTACAAAAAGTTATAGAGAGAAGGGCACGTAAGGGGATGGTCGTATCCACTGATTACCTGACACCTATAAATGAAATGGATATGCGCAAAAAATGCCATTTGATGCACATAATTTCAAAATTACCCTACTGTGGGAGGGGAAACGACCCTCCCCCGTTGAGAAATTGTTATCACTGTTTTGTAAGCTTAACTCTTTTTCCCTTCCCTGAAACAACACTGCTTCGTACACCATGGTTTCACTGGGTGCTAGGCTGAAGGGTGTCACAAGTGTAGGTGTGTAACTCAAGAAGCCTTTCGTTCGCAGCAGCGAGGGCTCATCTTCACGTGATCGGATGCGGAGTGCTGGGGAAAACTAAAAGCGAGGGTGAGGGTATAAGGGGATTAGCATATGCCACTGCTATATAATTAGTTACCCTAATACTGATTTTAGTGTGCAGAAAATTCCTTTCTCATGCACGAATTTTCAAAAATTCTCCCTACGGTGGAGGGGGGATACCCGTCCCACACGCCTACCCCCTCGGACGCTTCGCTCCTCGCGCTTGGCCCCCCTGTTTCAAATTGCGTGATACGACACTGCACACGCGCACGGCAGCGCACGCACGCACGCGCCACCACAGTTCAGAACTTAAACGGAT